TGAAATCGCTTCATTAGTTCTCGTGCAATAAGCATTTTTGTGAGGCTTTAAAAATTACAACTACAATATTTCAGCATAGCCTCTATATCGCAACGTAAGACGTATTCTACGTTAAAAGCCGTAAGCGATTTTTTTTTCAAAATTTTAATTTTTTATTTAATAGAAAATTAAAAAAAAAAATTTCGCTTACATCGCGATTAGGGCTCTATTATTTTGACAAAAATTCTTCATTGACAAATGTATTTGCACGTGAATTTTCAAAAAATCGATTGAAAACCAGCCTTTGAAACTTTTGCTTAATTCAGGAGCATAAAGCTAATTACTGGGCCCTGTGAAGGATATATTGATGCTTCGGGAATGAAACTAATTTCCAAAGAAAGAAAGTCGCTCCAATTTTAAATTTTTAATTAAAATTTTAGTTTATATTTCAAATCGCCCACTATGATATTTAAAAAATCATATTATTTTTTAACACTTTAGATACCAGAAGCAACAACAAAATAAACGTAATTTGTGCATGTCGCTGACTTATTGCTCAACAAAAAAAAAATATTCACTAATCGCTCTGAATTGAAGCGAATTCATATAAGGTGGTATCGATTCTACAAATACAAAAATTACTTGTAATTTGTTTTTGGTTTTAGCGGGGCATTGCCAGATTTTAGCTATTCTTCCTCGAAGGAAAAAGGACGACAGAAAATAAAAACCTTCTCACGTTTTCACTTACTCACTAGCAATATTCAAAATTTTGACAATCACACCTTATATGAATTCGTCTTGGCTTTGAATGAAGAACATTTATTTATTAAGTGATCTGAATGTTAAACGGTTAAACGTTGTAGAGGATTTGCTCTAATCATGAAATAGAAAAAAAATATTAAAAATATTTTAAAATGGATGCTCTTTATTCAGAGCCTAAGAAAATAATTATAACAGCACATTATACAAATAGCGGTTATCAAACTTTAAAACACTAATTGTTTTGCAAGCTTAAGGATTTATGTTATCCGGGCAGGCTTATTCATTTAAATACAGAATATACAGTGGTAAAAATAATTATTCGTACAGTAATTTTTGTTTACAATATTTTACATGACAGTTTTTTCGTTAATTCTCCGCGAAAATATAGTTCATATTCGAACAAAATTCATTTCAATTCAATTTTTGAAACGTTTTATAAAACTAAAAAAAAATCAAAAAACTTTAATCGAAATTTCAAAATTTTTAGCGATTAGACTTGCATTTTAATAGACTGAAATTGAATGTGCTACAAACCTGCATACTCAAAATTTTTCTAAAAAAATTCTGAATACACATTTAGAAATTTTAATGAAAGTTGTTGATTTATTTCTGTTTTGTAAAAGGTTTCAAAACTTAATTAATATAGTTTTTGTGAAAAAGTGAACCATATTTTGTTAAAAATTAACAAAAAATATATATAAAAACATTACAAATATTAAGCAAAAAAATGACTGTACGAATAATTATTTTGACTACTGTATTTTCTTTATAAAACTGATGCCCGGTATCAGCTGTTGATACTTGTCAAATTTTAATTCCAAATTTTCTTCATAAGCGAGTGGACAAATGTAAAGAATGGCCCATATACAGGCACACGTGCATTTGTATGTATGAAAGATAGACTCAGTCGCCGCCTCTAGCCATTGTGTGTATCACCTTTAAGTTACGGCAGAATATTTTTTTTTGTCCCTCTTCCCGAAATCCTGGCTACGCCACCGCATCGTGAGATTGCAATCGCAGCAAAGAGATATATAAAAAAAACTACGAAGACTCTCATACACTGACGACTGTTCGATATTGGCGTCTGGGAATGGAATTGATGACCTCTGCTCGTAAGTAAACGGCTACTTCTACGACATTTCTCGCTTTTGCACTGCAAGTAGCCCGGCCCTCTCCCTAACGAAATCAAAGGCGACCATCTTCACCACCTAGACGAAGGAGTTCAGGGACGGAAAATAATCATTATTTTTTTAAATTTTAACCAAAAAAATCAACAAGTTGTAATCGTCGTAAAACAATTATATTTATATCCATGTATTTGTTTTCGTACGTCCCACTGTAATTTACAATGAATTTTATTTTTCGAGTTTAACCTATAAAGATTAAAATTAATATCTGAGTTTTAATTTTTCGCTCAAAGGTAATTATTATTACTTGATTTTTATTTTTTCGTTCAAAAATAATGATTATTTTATGCATTTTATTTTTTCGCTCAAAGATAATAATTATTATTCAGTTTTTTTTTCACTTAAGAATAATGATCATTCAAAAAAATCAAAAGCTATACCGCATAGCCTTTTAAATTTTTGTAAATAATCATTATTTTTAAGTGGAAAAATAAAACTCAATAATAATTTTTATCTCTGAGCGAAAAAATAAAAGCCATAAAATAATCATTATTTGTGATCGAAAAACTAAAAATTAAATAATAATAATTGCCGTTGAGCAAAAAAATAGAAATCAACAATAATTATTATTTTAGAGCGAAAAAAATTAAACTCTTAAAATAATGATTAAATGCTGATTTAAATTATTTTACCCGTAATGACTACCGTCCCTGCTTTCTTTCTTTCTCCGCGCACACAACCGCAATTGTAAATAAAGTACAGAGTCGCACTTCGGGCAGCGACAGGATGCCTTCTGATGTGGTGCTGGATACTATCTACACAGTGAGGCCCAAATGCTTCCCGTAAAGTAGCACAGGCGTGAGCGTCCCAACAGAACCCTCCTTGAGGAGGCGACAGAAGGCATCTTTTCGAGTACATCGACCAACTACTCGTCCCGATGGCGCACCGATGAGTGACCAACGGCATTCGTACGGAGTCGGTCTCCACCTACCATGGCTCTCGACCTATGAATGCTGTAATCGGAGCACCATGTATACCCGTTGCAGACTCTGACCTTCGACTACTACTCTTGACATGTCAGCTCAACAACTCCATTTCATTTTGCAACGAATCTCTAGGCATTTCGTATTAATAACATTCATGATTTCGAGTTTTGAGTAAAAAAAAAACAAATCGTTTAGAATTACGTTTAGAAAATAAAGTGATTATTTTAATCTTTATCGAACAGTCCACAAGTCTCCCATGACCAGAGCTATCTACGCCTCTGCAGCCATCGTTCGCTAAATGTTGTGAGAAACAATGGAATTTCATATATCAGTGCGAACAAGCAGCAGAGAGTGGCATGAATGACTGAAGCGAGGAGTTGCGAGTATGAACATAAAACAATGCGAATTGCTTGGCAACAAACTAACTATGTTTTACGCACGATTGCGCCAAAAGGGGAGCTGGTATGTGGAGGCGAGTAAGGAAAGTGAGCTGACGGAAAATATTGCTCACAAACATACATATAAACAAACTTGTTATATAAGCTTATGCAAGCGCCCGCCATATTTGCAGAGGTTGTCTATGTAAAAATGAGTGCCACTGTGTGTATTTGTGTGTGTATGTGAGTCGAGCGCGGCGCACACAGCTCCACCTTGGCGCGCTTGTGATTGGCCAGTTAGCCAGGTGGCAGGCAGCCCACACCACAGCGCATGGAGTGAGTTTTGCTCTGCGTGTATGTGTGTGTGTGTGTGGGTGTACTTGTATTGAGCATGCAAGCCAAAACAATTGAAACTGTTGCCTACTGTGCGGCGTAAGCCACCCTCGCTTGGCACACACACACACACACATACTTGGCTTGGTGTGTAGTGAAAATTCCTTAGCATCAGGACGGTGAGCAGCGAAGGAAGGCAACTTAGCTTTTCACCACACAAGCGCTGCTCTCTTCTCAGGCAATGGGTAAGAGCAGGATGCACATAGTTGCTGCGGTGAAATATGCTGGTCCATGGCTATGGCGCACAGGCATTTGTGGCCAAAAAGGATACTGAGGCTAGTTCTTCGTGTGTAGTCCTGCTGTGTGGTGTAAACGGTTCAAGCGGAGATCTCTCGACGTGATATAGTCAGTGTTCAGATATAAAATATATATATATATGTATAAGAAAAAAAAACTATTTAATTAAATTAAAAATTATAAGTGATCGAAAATAATAAAAAAACGCAAAGTGTTTGAGCAAAAACAGAAAAAATTAAAGCAAAGAAACTAAAAAAATTCGAAAAAAGCTACGCCTTGAGGTCCTCAAAAATTTTCACTTTCACAGCTCGATAAAGTAGCTTTCAGTATATATCAATACGCTGTATAGTATATACATATCCACGCGCAGCAAAATCTATTGGAATATAGCCTTCCAATGCGCTCAGCTAATTTTTCCAGTGCATTGTTATTTGTAGCAGTTTAAGAGTCCTGCAGCAGAAAGGTGCAGCAGCATCGAGCGCGTGCGAGCGAGACAAGTCGTACATAAATCTCATTATATCACTAAATAGTTCTTCCCCCTTTACTGCATTGCGCATTTCAGCGCCCACCCGACGCCCTCACTCACTCGTGCCTGTACCAATTATCCTACCTCCTTTCTTATTGCTGCTGCTGCTGCTGTAAGCGCGCACCTACTTACACTGCTCAAATCTCAGCTTTTGCAACACTTTATACTACATAGCACACTTACATCTGCAGGCACTCTGCGCGCATTTGGCTCTGCATTGTCTGCAGAAAGCTACAGCTATCCCCACCTTTTACAGCTACTACATACATAGTTGTGGTCTCGATCTTCTTTTTAGACTGTGCCTGCAGCCGTCAATGGCAGCAGTACGCAGTCCTCACCCAGACAGAGTTTCAAACGCGTCGCTCGCGCAGCTAAACGCTTTGGCGGCGAGAGATGTCGCCATTGCTGCTGTTGAAGAACTTTTAAGTTCTTTTCACTCCAGCTTGTTTAGTTTGATTTCATTAGAACTAATATTTTTTTTTTACTTTTTGTTTCAATTCGCGTATATGATTCGTAAGTCTACTATAGTGGACTGATAGTGTTTTTATAAACCTTTGTTTTTTATAAAGCTTTTCCAAATACTAAAATTTCTAACCGTTATTCGCAGTTATATCCGTTTAAAACTCCGACCACAAAGTATCTTAACAATAAATGCATAAAAATACCTCGTTCGTATTAAATCCTAAGTGAATATTATTTATTGTCTCCCATAAATTTAATGAAATAAAATATTCGAAATTCAACTAAAACTTCGCAAGACATAAGATCCGAGGATTACGCTAGAGCAGCGCTGAAAATGGATTACGCTAACTTGAAATGTAAGTATGGATTTCATAAAAGCATATTAATGAAGAGATATTTTTTTTTGGTTATGCAAAAATTCGTACAACGGGGAGGGATGGACTGCCCTGGCAAAAGTTTAAACTGCAGTTAGTGTTGACCAGACATTGCGTAACCGAGATATTCAAGCCTTGAAATGCTTTGAAAATCGCGTTCCGCCTCTTTGTAGAAAATATCATATTATTTGAATTGTAAAGGTACCCTGACGGAATCGAGTGATTTTTTTTTTAAATCGACTAATTGAAAGGTTACTTTAAAAAAATGCAATGATTTTTGCATAAAAAAAAAAACAATTTGTGTCTTGGAAGTATGAAAAAAAGCATCTGTGAAGTCCACAACGCAAGCGTATTCAAAAGAAACATACTGACTTTGAAGTTCATTCATTTTAAAGTAGTTGAAATTAAATACAGAGTCGGATAGTCGACTTGCTGCTTGCACACAATTCGAACTGAACATTTGAAAGCACATTTACATCTCTGGCTTTAGCTGAGAGTGTAAAGATGTTTGCTACAATTCAAACAAATCTCATTTAATTTTAAATTTTTAATTTCGGTTTTTCTTAGTTATGAAAAAGCATCTGTGAAGTGCAGAACGAAAGCGTATTCAAATAAAACATACTGACTTTGAAGTTGTTTAAGCCAAATTCATTTTAAAGTAGTTGAAAATACATGCAGGAAAAGGCAATTGACTGCTTCCTAGGACATCCCCATGTTAAATAAATGAGTTCGTTGCAGTGAGAATTTCAATTAGTTATCATTTAAAATAAAGTAGTTTATAAATTACCTTCAAACCAATTCAATTTCCTCCAGGGGAGTTATAGCTACGGTGACCATTCGTACCGATTTTTGCGGGACAGTACACGATTTTTCATATTTGTACCGATTACTTCCCGATTTTCAGTGTTTTATTTATTAATTTGAAAAGAGTCTCCCTGTACTCTGTCCCAAAAATAATTTTTCTTACAAACGTGGCAGCATATTCGTTATCACAAAGAACATAGAATATAAGGAAGCCATAAACATAGCCAGCATCCTTACTTTCTATGATTTTTGGTTATGTTTTATTCTGTTTTTTTATTTTAAGTTTGGTTTTTTTTCCATAAAACGATTCTAACTTGAGTTTAGTAGTGAACTACAAATTCCCTCAAAAACTTCATGGATATGAAAAATATAAGCTGTAGATACAGTGGCAAAGATATAAATAGGGAAGAGGCATTTTAACATTCTTTGCCTAATTACCCTTTCGATTAATTAATTTTTATTACTTTTTATGTAAGTGTAGCTCGTTATTTAATAAAGACAATGCGAGTCAAAATTTTAAACGTTGTACAAAAATTAGCTAAGCTCGACAAAGTTTCATCAAAATTTTGAGCTTTTTAATTAGATTTCTTACATTCCGGGGGAAATCTGGTCACCGTATTTATAGCCCATTTCCGCCAAGAGCTTAACTACAGTTAAGTGCCCAGGTAAGTGCAAATAACGTAAACAAAGGGTGATCAGTAATGTTTATTTCTTACTGTTTGCCTTTTTGGTTTGATTGCTTGTAGTTAAAATGAGAAGTTTCCTCGTTGGAGCTGTAATATCCTTTTTCTAATAGGCATAAACTGGAGTTAAGGCTTGGTGGAAATGATCTACTATAATCGTTTTCAGTTCATATTAACCTCAAACTGACTCCTACGCTCTTCTTAAATTTTTTATAATTTTTTTTTAAATTTTTTTGTGCACGTGCCAATAAATTATATCATTTTGTTACTGTGATGTGAGAAATTGCAATGGTAGATTCGTGATCAAAATGTATTTAACAACGTGCGATTGAATTTGATCGTGCTCCCATAACTTCTTTATATTCGTTTGCCATATAGGATCCATCATTTTAGATTTTCCAAACCTAACTTTTTGTTTGTAAACAGCAAATTTAATCTTTTTTTTTTAAAGTCATCCGCGATATAGGATCCGTCATTTGCAATTTTCAAAACACTTCAGACTTCAGATTCGCAATCAGCTACCCCATAGACAGTGTCATAAAAATTTAATATTTTTTTTTACAAGTCATCCGGTATATTGCACCCGCCATTTCAAATATTCTAAATCTGACTTCAGATTCGCAATCAGCGAGCTCAAGAACCCAAAGTCAAAAAGCGTAGCATTAAGCAAAGTCTCAATAATTACAAATACATCGAATTCCGACTGGGAAATTAGCAAACGCACGTCCATCGACTTCGTTCTGAGCCCCGACGCATTTTGAAAATAAACTTTTAAATACTTTTTTATTCCGCATAAGGTGTGAGCTAAGCTTCTCCGAGAGTTTGTGCATTTTTCTCGAAAAACGAGATTGACGAACTGTCACATTCACTATATATGTACGTAAAGTTAACTATTTTTACAATTTTACGTCGTAATAAGTTTACTTTTGCGTTGTACCTACGGTGACCATATTTATGAGAGGCGAATACGGGACAAAAAATAGTTTTGGAAATTTTTTCCACACTGTTTTCCCTGAAACAGTATCCTTATAGTAACACCACAAATTTGTAGGATAATTTTCTCGAGATTTTTACCCCTTAAAATTTGCTTAAAGAAATTGTTAAATTTTAGTATAATAAAGTGCAATTTTAGTATAATAAAGTGCAATATAAAGCTAGCAATGAACACCTCAGAATAATATTGAAGCATTGTATGTAGCCATCATAGAGTTTTATTATTTGCCATGTAAACGCTCGTAGTTTGACCTTCGGCAAACTCGACTACTTTAATTATCTTTTTTCAGATATAGAACTTGATATAGTTTGTATAATAGAAACATGGTTTAAACCAATGGTCGGCAAAGCTGACTTACGTGAGCAGTACGCTAATCACATGCATTCTTACGCTCTTCAAATCATGGTCTGATTATGGCAACTTAAGACTATGTTCAAACAGGCACCTAATTGCCAATTAACACACTTTTCACCAATTTAAGCCTTAATTGTTACCCAATTTATCATACAAAATTCAAATTATCGATCACATATCAACTTAGTTACTCACATGCAACAAATGTTGGCTATGAAAAGAATCTTTTCGAGTAGCGCGAGACAAAACTATGTTGTAGAAAAGGTGAATCACTTTCCTCCCAGTTCTTCGATCTGACGTTTAAAAAGAAATATTTTCCGTCTATCTAACGAAATCAACTACATTTGCTTTACTTTGACCGCCCTTATGTATCATTTGTATGCCCCTTCACAAAGAAGGGAAGCTATAAGACCAGTTGCCCGCACCAGAAAATGCATTGAAATGTCCATAAAAATAAGAACTGATTTCCTGAGAAGTTATTTGGCTACGTTCCAAATGTACCAAAAATTTTGTGTTTGTACCGAACGGACTTTCAAACTAAATAAGAGTACGATTGTACCAACTTTTCCATCACTGTAGATAATCCAGCAGCTGATTTCGTATCGCTAATTGCGCAGCTGACGTGTGTGTGTGAACACTAAAGTCAATGCCGCAATTTATGTAAAGCTTAATTGCCTGAGCTAATTGGCCTGTTTGAATATAGTCTAACGTAACTTGCAGGCTCTCACTTAAATATTATCTTAAATGGATGTGGCTTATAATTGAACAACCGAAACTTAACGTAACTTAATGCCGCGTCGAATCTGTTTCAGTTAAGTTAAGTTAAGTTGCCATAATCAGGCTTACAGTCGTTGGTGAGACAGCAACAAAGCAATATAGGCGAAGCTGCGTTTGTTATTTTGCTTATACATGTACATGTGTACGATTAAAAACTACCTTCAAAAAATACTTTATGGAAAAAGAAGAAACATTTTAGAAGGTGCCCCCAACCCAAACTCAGAAAAATCCTTTTTCGACCGCTCTATTGCACATACATACAATAATTATTTTGTAACAAAAAAAAACAAAATCATTACTTTTTTTCAAGGAAAATTTGATATTCTCACAAGCGTTCCTACATTCGTTACCTTTACCCCATACGATTGGCTTTCACACCACTGTAGCTCAAATTGCTCACCACTGTTCCAAACAAATACTTGACAACTCCCAGGATAACTTTCTTTAGATAAGAAACCTTGTTTTTTTTACATAAGTTGGTTTATATTGCAAAACCAGAATACATATTTAAAATCCTAAAATTTGGGCAAAGCGAAAATCTGCTAAATATTATAATACCTAAGACTACATATGTATGTACATTGTTACTTCTCGCACATTCTTTGTTCATGCTGCACAATTATGGAACTCTCTTCGACCCACTAAAAAATTATTAAGGATGCTAGATGCTTAAAGAATACAATACAAACTTGCTTCTCTTACCATAAGTCGATGTGGCGCTTGCATAAAATAAACATATAAATAAATGAAATCAAGATGAAATGAAAAAATAAAAGAACTGCTCAGCATTCCAAGAAAGGTTACTTCGAAGGCCATGACCGGTGTAACCGGTCATTGGTTATTTGGTAGGCACGCTTCGAGATTAGGAGTATTCACCCATAAATTTTGTAGAAGTTACAGAGATGGGGAAGAGGAAGAAAGAGTTGAGCACTTCTTCTAGAGCCTCCCAGATTTAGCTAAGCTTTCAAGGGAAGGAATTCCTTAGATCTCTCACAAAACTAGGCGATGTAGGAATAAAAGCAATTCTTATTCCAAACGATTCCATGAAATATAGTCAATGAGGTTTCTGTAACTGCCACATTACGAACTGACTGCCGAATATAAGTTGATTCGTCACTATTGTAGCAATCTTAAAAATAGTACTAGGAAATAAAAATGTATTTTATACATATTTAAAAAATCGGTTTTGAATTATACTTCATGAAAAACTACTAAATGTATATATCATTTTGCACACAAAATTATGCAACTCAGCGAAATTTCTCGCAAAAGTCATCATTTTTGTAGAGCGAAAAGAAAAATTTATTAAAATAATCCGCTTATGTTGTGCAAAGCGTTGTGTGAGAAGGGGCGCACGAGGGAAAAGCAATTGCAACAAACAAATTACACTCAGAAAACTTTGCCATTTGCTTATCAGCAAATGAACACGCTTCAGTGAAATACCAAATTCATGCCGATTTATCGTTTTCATTTTTTTTTGTCTCTATTTACTTGCAGAAATGGAGAATGACCCCAAAACGACGCCCACGACTGCTACTGCTGCTGTCTTTGCTGGTAGACCAGAAACAAACAGAAGAATAACACACAAGCTGAGCAACAACAACTACAACAAATTACAGCAACAATAATCCTACTACACAACAAACGGAATTATGAATTCCTACAAATAAAATGAAATAAAATATCTGCTCATATGAATGTATGTATGTATGTCTGTATGTGTACATGTGCGCATACCAATGTACATATGTATGTGTGGCGTTTGCACTGAAGTCGTAAAAGGCGAATTAGAGTGAAAACTGGGCATAAATGCGCGCTGTTGTGCGTCTGCAGCTTTGAAATCGAAAATTGTAGCATAACTTTGGGCGCACAAGCATGCTGCTGTGAAATTAACGCGCGCGCACACACACACACACAAATAAGCGAATTAGTGTGAAAAGGTGTGATAAAAATAAGTGGAAAGTGGTCGCGGTAGTGAAGTTAGAATTTGGAGACTCGTGCAGTGCTTGAGTGCGTTGGGCGGTCGGAACACCCACAAGGCGGTAATCAACTTTCCGTGCAACATAAAGCGGACCAACCGCGAGTGTTTAAAAATTATATATATATATAGCTATACAACAACAACAACAACAAGAAAATTTTAACTGCTTACCAGCAAGAAGCGCAATCACAACAACTACAACAACAACAATATCAGCAACAATCAGCGCAGCAAGCAGCAGGGTAGCATCCTCATCACCATGAAGGGCTTAACAGCGTTTAAGGAGAAAGCCACGTCCGCCTTTAGTGGGTGAGTGTGTGCATTTGCAATCAAATTGGTAAAAAAAGGCTAGCGCTCATACAAAGTTCGAAATTTAATTTAACGGACCACTGACTGGACATAGTCGAGCCAGTAGAGGGGCAAGCAAATTGCATTTTGTTTTTGTTTTTGTTTTGTGAAGTCAATTCGATGTACATAGCTAAGTATTTGAGCTGGCGGAAAATGAATTCATTTGTTACGGTTTATTATTGCATCAAATTTCTGCCATATATCACTTTTACAATTGCGCGGTTAGGGGGATTGAAGTTTATAATCAAAGGCAATAAATTTTAGAAATTGCTCGTCGACTGTATTTTTGGGCATTAAAAAATTGCATATTTTATAAGTACTGCGCTACATTGTTTAAACTGAAATTCTAGAATTTCGGCTATAGACGCTGGTGGGTATAGAAGACTTTCTTCGAACTGGAGATAAGCTAAGTTCTCAAAGGTCTCGCATCGAAAAGCTTTCAATATGTCCTGTTTTATAAAAAACCGAAAACTTTTCAAATCATGTTTCGTTTGTCATCCATGCTATAATATTTCATTAATCCTCTCAGGACAATAAATTCATAAAAAAATCATGATCTGAATTGTAAATTTTGATTAATCAAGGGCTAAGTAAACCAAATATGATAAAAAAAATAACTTTCTAAAAATATGCATTGATTTCTACTAAGAACAAATTTCTTCCCAAATTTTTTCTTCTAAGAGATTTTGAATCAAACTCATAATTTACTCCTACAAAAATTATTTTTTTCCAAAACAATTTTTTTTTATTATTTTTTCCAAAATAATTTTTGTTTGAATTCTTTCCCAAATATTTTTTTTCCAAAAATTATTTATTCTAAAATAAAAATATTCTTTTTTATGTATGGTAAATTTTTCATAATTTATATCTTTATTTATAAAAAACTAATTTTCCTACATATTTTTTTCTAAAAAATTTAAAAAAGTTTTTCATGAAAAACCACTATTTCTCTTTAAATATTTTAAATTGTTTTTTTTTATTCTTATTCCTAAAAGAAAATAATTTTTCTCGAAATAGATAATTATACAGCATTATTTCTACCCAAAAAAATCTTTGTTTCTGATGGTAATTACTTTTCTAATTCAGGTTAATATATTTTTTCTAAATTCTGGGGTTTTCGTAAAAAACAATTTTTTGGCTAAAAAAAAAATTCTTAAACAATTTTTTGTTTCTAAAATTTCGTAATAAAAATAGGTAAATGAATATGAGGCACATTCTGAAAACAGAGAAAATAATACTATATACCAAAACACACAAATTTATTATGTGTGCTTTTTTTGGAAAATATGTTTATCTTGGCCATGGAAGGGTTAAATTGCATTTAAAGTTTAAACAGGTTGCAGCCCTTTTTTAAAATATTTTCGAAACAAATCTTTCTATCGTTTGACATTCTTATTGATTAAGCTTAATAAGACTTCTAAAAACATTTGCGAAATAAACAATTCTTAATCATCTTCTGACATGATTTTATAAAAACTTTTGAAAAATGGGGTTCGACTTAAAACAGGTAGCAACCATTTTCAAAATAAAGTTTTTTTTAGCTGGCTGGCCATATTGTAATATTTAATTTATTAATAAAATTTAATTAACAATTTTAAATGTGGTGGCAATTTTCCTTAAAATGTTTTGTTTTCATAATAAAGATATTTTAAATCTCGTTCGTTTGGCATCCGTATTGTGGAATTTCGTTGGATTTCATTGAACTTTATAATTAAATTTATTTTGACTTTCTAAACAAAGCTTCCTGAAAAATCTCTAGATGTATACCCAAGATTTTGTTTAACTTGTTATCTAGCTTCTTGAAAAGGGGTTATTTTAGCTTCTTGAAAAGGTGGTAGTTCTCTAGAAGATTATGTTTGCAATAAATCGTTTTTTAATTCCATCCCTTTGACAACCACATTGTTGTAAAATTTTATTTAGCTACTAATAAATTGACTTTAACTTTTTTAAAAGTTAGCCAGACTTCTTAATTAAACTGAACAGCTTTCAACCTTTCTAAAGAATGTTTCCTTAAAAAAGAGAAACAAACATACTTACACACTCACTCACATACCCGTCAATTATATTGATTTAAATTCCTAAGCTGATGGCAACCCTGGTTTAAAATATTTTTTCTATCCCGTTTTAAAACCTATTTTAGAAAATTTCATTTAATTTTATTAATTTATATTGATTTTGAATTTCTAAATAGGTGGCGGCCCCTTTAAAAATAATTTTGAAATACTACTTTCTCCAACCTCTCCCGTTTAAAATCCATATTATAGCGTTTAGTTTAACTTGTTGATTAATAATAATTAACCGACTTTAACCTTTTATCAGGTGGCAACTACCTTAAAAATTATTTCCGAAATAAATCGTTTTGAAACTCTGTAGTTCGACACTCACATTGTTTTCATATTTTATTTAACTTAGTGGTTAATTGTATTCAACTTTTGAAAGAGGTGGCAACTCTAGAGCAACAAACACACACACACTCACTCATTCACGAACTTTAATTTTTTTAATATTAGCCGGATTAGCGGACATAACAGTAAGCTATGAAATGATCGTTCGAAGGCCCTTTAAATCAAAAATCCTCTCTGCTTAGTTGTGTTTTACTGTCTTCTTAGATGGAAGGACAAAGTACATATTTGGCTTGTCTCTGCCCAAGTGTGTGTATGCGCGTTTGAAAGAGCCCCTAAATAAGCCTTAGCCATAAAGTGCTTATTAGCGTGGGCCGAAAATCCGTTTTTTTTTTTTTAAATTTTGATTGGTAATAGCAAAGTATATAGTTTATTATGCTCTAAAATAATCTGTGTGAAAGATGACGATTTTTGATCAATATCTTAGGCTCGCTCAAGTCCATCAAAGTTCCATGTGCTCAAAATATAAAAATTCCATTCCAGAGAAAAGTTTCCGACAAAAGTTATGTAATTTTATCGGCAGAATCCGAATGTAAATGGTAAAAACATGCAGGTTCTATTAAAAAATGGACTTCCGGACAGTTCAATCCACATCCGGGCGAAACCGGAAGTCGGTAGTACCACCAAAAGATAGAGCATCCCTGATTTGGTCGGTAAAATTTTTGCGTTTTTCAATAAAAAAAACATTTCCCCCCATTTTAGAGGTGGTCGAGGGAGGACACCCTGTATACATTAATATTTTGTACCGAAGTTGTGGCCTCCGGCGCTCAACGAAAGGCTCAAACAAATCGAACTACTGGCTAAAAAGTGAATAGAAATGGAATTAAGACAGCGTACGGCAGCTTGCATGCAACCGGAAAGTTGTAAAATTATTGGCATACCAATAGGAATTCACTTATAGAGCATGATGACTTACTTACTCATCAAAAGCGACGGATGAATATCGATGACGCAGGCACAACAAACAAAAAAAATAGAATAGAATCGAGTTGTGAAAGTAAAAATTCCAAACGTATGACATTGAACACACTGGCATGCGGACTATGCCACGCGATACACGTCGCCACGAGGCGTTGATGTCTCGCACTTGTGGAGCCGGAATTCCGGACACGTTCCAGGCACGTGCACCGCAGAGAAAAGCGGAAATGGTTATGAAGTGCGAGCTTTATGTGAGCATAAGTACATTTGCTAGGTAACCGAAGCTGTAACGGATGAAGTGGAGAGTAGCTATTTGAGAGCATGAGATGAGTAAGCACAAGAAAAAAATGCTCTTAATTGAGTGCACTAAGATCTATTCCGGAGTATGTACCTAAGCTGGAGTGGAGTGAAGGATGCAATTTTTATGATTTTCCAAGAAGGACAGGTGATCTGGTGGCATCATGGCATTGACTGATTTTGAAGAATTCGCAGCAGCGAGTACAATCTATTGTCTTGGAAAGTGCGCAAATGCATTGACGGCATTATGAAGCAAAATTTGAAATTACCTAAAGCAGAGCTTGCTTTCACTATTTCCTTAATTTCTTACTTGATATACATATTTAATTGCGAACTGTTAGTGATATTAAGTGGCGTAATTGAGGGTTTGAGAGTGTAGAAAAATGCCGCTTTTAGTGAACAAAGCACAGCGAAGACATTGAGTACCCCACCAACCACACTTGGCTGCAAACAAAAGAAAATGAAATTGAAATGCGTGCAAAGCGTGAAAATGTTATTCATATCAAAAGCAGAAAAGGCGAAAGTAAGCTGAAGGAGCTGAGAGTACAGCCTCGCTTACATTGGCATCCTGGCAGGAGCCACTCAACAACAAAGCGGCCGTTTTTCTTCAAGAAGACGCGCACAAGTGTCTGTCAAAGAGTGCCATTGTTCCAGTAAGACGCGTGAAGACTTTTCCGCGCTTTCACGCACTGCTGTCAATGCCACAAACTGCTTATTGAATCTACATGTACTCGTATCTAAATATGTATGAAATATGCAGACGTGTGCGCAAGTTTTATTTGCGGCAGGCTCCCTCACCTAAAAGCCTGTACAACAAATCGACCTGCATTGAATGCGAAATTAAAAATTAGAATACAAATATACAAGCGATTCAATTCAAATGCTCAAGAACTAACTTTTGTTGTAGCTGTGGTTGGCACTTGCTTTCACTTGTACACTCTCACTCGCCGCCTAAGTCACTTTTCACACTCTCCCAATCGCACATATCGGTTACGCCACCGGGACAAGTGTTTGCTTCAGGCTGCTTCCTTCAAGTGCGTCCTTGGCAACACGACGACGGCAATTGATAGCTGCGGAAATTTTATGCAGCTCTGCCTCCTGCGCTCCACTTTATGTGCTGGTATTGTAATTGAAATTGCTTTACTGATTCTCAATAACACAACGCTTTCATCTTAATGGTTTCTTAATGTGCGTCTTTATATTAATTTGAAAGTGGGCTGGAACCCCGCAAAAAACGTTGAACCATGTGATTCATTTGTGCCATATTGGAGTGCTTAAAAAGTGCTCTTCAGTAATGCGGTAGCGGACCAACTCGTGTCTCTACACCAGCTTATTATTACCCGA